GATTGCGACTTGCCTTAGACTGAGACTGAGAGAGAGAGGGATAGAGAGGAATAGAGAGAAAGGTACTGAGACTGAGATATGGAATTAGACTGAGATTAAGAAACTGCGACAGGGACTGAAACTGAGCCAGGTACCACAATAACTTCTCAAAATGCAAAGAGATCAAATTACAGCTCATTCGAATTATAAAGAGCATTTTGCCTGTCAGTAGCTTGAGATGCTTATGAATCATACAGTTAGCTTGCATACAAACAGAAAATACATACATACGAAATATCATCATATTTATGAGCGAGCTGAATGATAATAATAATAAAAAGTTTTAACCAATTTGCAATCCAAATTTGAAGTTCCTGGCATTCTATACCCTCTCTCTCTCTCACTCTCGCATACACACTTTCCTCTGTCTCTCTCACTCTATCTATCTCTGTCACATGGCGATTTTCGAAAGACAACTCGTTAACAGTGGCTGCCATTGCCGTAGCCGTTCATCCCTCTCCTGGCAGCACCCGGCAACCACCTGCCCACTGCGAGTGCAGCGCGGCCTTGTCTGCCCGTGCTAACGTTTTGTTGTTAAGCCATTGGAATTTATGGCGTTGTTTACACAAAAATTGCATTCGCCTTGCAGTTGAGTAAACACACGACTCGCCAACAAGAGGAAGAAGAAGAAGTATAACTAGAGGAAACAGAAGCAGCCGAGGCAGCATCCAAAGCAGAGACAGTGAACAACCAAAGCTACACGAAAAAGAAGAATAAACTAAACCAAAAAACAAAAAGAAGTTATGCACGCCCTTTGCAAATCTAACCGATCCGGGCATACCCTGTATTCCTCTTGCTTGGTTATTTAATAGAATAGCCGACAAATTGAATTCCCTCTCCAGAATACTAAACTAATTCTATCTAGTTATACACTGAGACATTGCTGTATAGAATCGCCTTTTGATGCTAATCAGAAATAAATATATTCTGTTGACCTTGCCTTACCAATTCGCAACTGGCTAAGGGGTATGCCGGAAGGAGAGCTGGAGCAAAAGACAAGAAAAAAGAAAACACACACACACACACACAATTTGGCAAGTCAAATTGAAAGAGCTGCGTTCCAGCGTTTCGGAATATCAAAATTTTCAGCTAACGGCGTCCTTAATGAATGCCAATTACTACTGAAGGACCTGAAACTCGATTATGCTAGCGAAAATGCAAAAAAAAAAAAGTAAGAAAGCAAACCGATTTAAATAACGAGTATTTTCAATTGCTCGCAATGAACTGAAGGACTAACAAAAACAACTGAAGTTAACTCGAGCAGAAGGTGTGCATACTTTAAATCATGGCCAGCTGCTGGCTGTTGAAAGGAGCTGAGCTGAGCTGGGTTAGAAGCCGCTGTACTATGGAGCGTATACGCAATGTATATTAATTATTACAATGTAGCCCACACACACACACACACACACGCTTGCTCACTCATTCACATAAATTTGAAATAACCATATCGTATAATTATATAAGCTGCACAACGACCCAAATGTGCGATGCCCAAAGACAAAGACGACAAAGATGGAGAGAGAGCGAGAGAGAGAGAGAGAGATAAAATGAGTTTCGGCAAAGAGACGTCCGACTAGGGCCATGTTGCTGTCATTTGTGGGTCGCAAACAACGAAATTGCATTTAGGTGTAGCCAAGAACTGTCAGCCAAGAACAAACAAAGAATCCAAATCGGCCAACTGAAGCTTGCCAAAAACTCGCATAAGTCTGCTAACTAATTACAAAATTGAGATCAGAGATGGGAATCGGAATTGGAATCGGAATGGCAATCATAATGGCTTAGGTATTATTAGGAAGAGCAGACGAATGTGGAATAGTACAGTGTTAACTGGCTATACTGTATTTTACAAAGAAATCATGTTTTATTGAAAGATATACAATATATTATATGAAGCGTCTTTTTCTGCTCAACTGAAAATTAAATATACTAAAATTGTGCTCCTAACGGAAATATGCCATGAATAGTGCCCAAGACATAGGCTAAGACCTCAGCAATTGAAAATAGAAGCCGAAGCATCGTTTGGTATTACTTCTGAAAATGTCTTCAGCTCAATTCGTACGAATTACCCAATGAGCTCTTCAAGGACAGATCCATATACATGCATATTAGAAATGTGAAACCTTTGAAGTTGAACCAAATACGAAATGCTGAACTAATTAGAATTTGAGAGCAGCGACTGCGACGGCAACGACGACGGCGACGGCGACGGCGACGGCGACGGTAATCGGATTTGGTCAGTGTGTCAAGCAGAAGAAATTAAATTGTTCGCCTGGCTTTTGTCTATTAACACAATAAGCCAAAGACATTAAGTTGTGTGTGTAAACGGTGTCTACATGTACTTATATATGTATGTGTGTGTGTGTGTGTGTGCATATAATAATTTGTCACGATAAATGTGCGACACGCAAAGCAATCATAAAATGTGCTTTTTGGTTACCTTAATGTGATTGTCAGGCCACATGTAAGCATTGAAAGCAGTCAATTAGCACTAACACAGACGCACACGCGCACACGGACACACGCACACGCACACACGCACGCATAGACAGCTGAAGTGTGCCATATAAAGTATACGGCATGTGTGCCCAAAACGGCAGGCGACAAAAGCGGTCGCCGCAAAGGTCCGTTTAACTTAACGTTTCCCACGCGAGCGACAACAGCGTTAACCCACAAACAGGCACACACATACACATGAATACATACATACATACACATGTATATACACCTTGTCGAAATGAATGGGTAAACGGGCAAGTTGTTGGCTAAGAGCATTCCGAGCTGCCTGCCCAACGGTGCGCTACGGTCTTAAAGTAGACAATGGATTGATGTAGCTCTAGAGAGGCATAAAGTGTGCCACAAAAAACATAGGTAGTTAATTTTTAACAGACTCAAACGGACTGACACACAGACGAACGTACGGACAGATGGACGGATGGACGCACTTTCATTTTCGCTCAACACTTGCCACACGATAGCCAACTGAAAGTTCAAAGCGAGCTAAAATTTATAAAGCTCACGCCCATTGGCACTAATTGCCAGCAGAGCCGCGGCTAGAGCATGTCGCGTACATCCTGGCCTTTTCCTCGGTCTCTCTGTATGTGTGTGTGTGTGTGTGTGTGTTGCAAACGAACGAGAACTGCAGGTGCCTTTTAATGATGCAGGAAATGAGTTAATGCGCCCATCAGGGCCGCCAACAGCGTCTGTCAACCAGGCCTGGACACCAGCTCAGTCAACCGTTTACGTCGCCCCATCGCACCGAGCAGTCGGCCGCATGCAAAGCGCGCCCAGCTGATTGGCAGCCGTGGCCCCAGCAACAGCAGATGTTATATTGTCGCCAATGTCATTAGAAGCAAGCGTTCACTAATCAGCTTATCATTATTACATTGACGGCAAGCGGGCAGAGCGGCCAGAGCAGAGCAGACGGCGCAGCGCAATAAAAATCCTTGTATTGAAGCCTAAGCGCATTAGGATAGTTTGCCAGTCTCAGCCAGCGTAATCGACAAACACACAGCCAATGCTGGCTGACTGGTCGCAGCCCGAATACACTTCAGTTTTATAGACGGCCTCCATCTGTAAGAGTCGAAAATAGGTCACTATGCTATCGCCTGGTTAAAAATGTAAATCAAGTCGTGTAATATATTCGACCCATTGGAAATTGCTGCTGATGCTCTACAACGCATTGTCCCATTCAATTGTTTCTGAATAATAAATAAAAAACAAATACTTTTGCTATTCGTCTGCTGAGTGCAATTGCTATGCAGTTAAATATGAACAGTTCAAAAAACGAGGGCTGCAATCGCATCAATACGTAATTGCTTCACGCGATAGTTTCGCCTATTGCCGATTTCAAGTATCGATCGCCATAGCAGCAGATGGAAATTTAAATATTCGGATAAAATGCACAAATTAAATTATTACGACTAAAGTATTTAAATAAATAAACTAAATGATTATGCTGTTTGCAGCATCTATCGATCTATCGCAATGTCCATTAATGTCCATCACGACTATCGATGTTGCCATCAACTGCTATTAATGATTTGAAATTTATGAGAATTTAGTCATTCCTTGAATGTTCTCTCCCCCTCTCTCTCTCTCTCTCTCTCTCTCTCTCTCTCCCTCTCTCTCTCCCTCTCTCTAAGATCTATCAACTTTATATCTCTGGCTTAAACTTGACATTCGTGGCTAGGAAGTATTTCTCTAATGTGAAGAAATGTTGCAGACTTGTACAAATATGCTCTGAGAAGGCATTCTTATCAGACAAATAACCTTAATATCCATCTTTTTATACGAAGATATAAATATTAACTTTGAATCACAAGTTTTGAATACAGGCGGCTGGTCGAGTCCATAAAACAGTATTTTTGTTGCTCTCGATTAATGGCTAGCACATGTTGCGATATACTATTTATGCCCAGCCCAGCGACAGGGTATTATAACAGTCGGACGTAAAATAAATCAATTAAAAGATTTCGGGTTTTTCGGGACGCCGCGCATCGGAATAAGCCAAAAGCAAAGCTAATTAGTAAAGTCCACAGGGAGCTGACAGTTGGGGAGGCAGAGCTGGCTCTGGGTCTGGGCCTGGCTCTGGCTCTGGCTCTGTTTCTGTGTCTGTGTTTGTATCGGGGCATTGGGTGTGGGCGTGGCTGGTCAAGCATATTGTGATGCCATTATCAGCGTATCATTAATTTAATGTGTGGCACATTAATTGCCGCATTGCGCATACACAGCAATATGCGTTGCAAGTGGAAATGGTAAATGGAAACGGAAATGGAAATCAGAATGAGAGAATGAAAATGAGAGCAGAGCCGTCAGAAGATAGGGGAGAGGGGTGGGCAGTGGGGAGAGTGACGCGAGCAGCCCATAGATAGTTGATAAGAATAATAGGCATCATAATGCGAACTGCCTTGATTTGTAAACCATATTAATTGGATGACTTTGCGTATCTTTGTTGTATTCAGGCAGCACAGCGAATCCGGACGCGAAGCGACTCTACGACGATCTGCTCAGCAACTACAACAAACTAGTGCGTCCCGTGGTGAATGTGACGGATGCGCTCACGGTGCGCATCAAACTGAAGCTATCGCAACTGATTGATGTCAATCTGAAGAACCAAATTATGACCACCAACCTATGGGTGGAGCAATCCTGGTACGACTACAAGCTCAAATGGGAGCCCAAGGAATATGGCGGCGTCGAAATGCTGCACGTGCCCTCCGATCACATTTGGCGCCCGGACATTGTTCTCTACAACAAGTGAGTTAGCCCCATTTACTAGCCCACAGCTGACCATAACTCCACGCATTCCACCCCCAACCAAACAGCGCTGATGGCAACTTTGAGGTGACGCTGGCCACAAAGGCAACACTGAACTACACAGGGCGCGTCGAGTGGCGGCCGCCGGCCATTTACAAGAGCTCCTGCGAAATCGATGTCGAGTACTTTCCCTTCGACGAGCAAACATGCGTCATGAAGTTCGGCAGCTGGACATACGACGGATTCCAGGTAAGTTTCCATCCATCAATCGACCTATCCAGCTATGCATCTACATATATTCCAACTGGCAGAGTGTGAGCGAATTACGAATTGCAGTTCAATATTTCCAATCTGAATAATCGGTGTACTGGGCGTACCGCACCTGCATTTCAAGTTAGGTGGCCAAATTATTTGGTGGCCAAGTATTTGGTACTCTTATTTAACCCAAGAAAACATGAAAATCCAACATTTGGACCAAACATCGATACTCTTGTTCCGATATTTTTTGATACTACAACACATAGACTGGACAAGTAGAGCAAAGATGAGCATAACTTCGTATTGCCTGGCTCAGTCTCAATACGCTCGGGCAGTCAAAATATGGCACGTCTATGTGTTGTATGGTTAGGGGTCTTACATTATAGACGTATCAATTACAGACAAGTAATTACAGACAAGACAATTAACATGACTTGATATTGCAGATACAATCGATAGACAATTAACATAAAAACTTAATATTCGCATTGGCAGGAGATCTATCGGAACTGAGTTCCCATTTACGTACAAACAGTTTAGGGTATAAAGAGAAATATGTTTTTCCAGCTTACTTCCGAGTTACTTCAAGTCAAGCTTTTGATGTACGGCCAAATCGGGATCAAGAGTATATAGTCATTCCGTTATAGACCTTCCGCCACGCCTTTTTATAAAGCCAATGTTCACTCTGAGTTTATGCAAATATCGTAAATTTCGCTGGTTACTTTTATTCAGGTCACGACTGTTCGGTGCAGCTGGATTATATGAGTTGTAATCGAGATAAAATGTAGAAGAATTATCGAGCTCATAGAGCGCAAAAGAAGGAAGAAAAGAGATGGGAACACAGTTTGGCTTTTCTATGCTATTTGCACTTTGGAAATTGGGCTCCTGTGGATGAGTTCTCTGAGCAGCAACGGCAACGGCAACGGCAACGGCAACGGATCCTGCGGCTGGTTTAGTGGCTATAAACCCAAATTCGCTCATAATTCGTTGTTGTGGCATAGAATTTCTCACATTTTATGGCCGCACAGAGGAACGGGCTGCATAAAATTGTCTCTGGCGATTTGAAAGCACACAGGGAGATAGAGAGAGAGAGAGAGAGAGAGAGAGAGAGGAGAGCAGGAAGCTAGAAACATTCGTGTAAGCAAATATAGAACAGGACGAGCCAAGGGACAATGAGGTGGCCTGACACCTGTCGGCAATAATAAAGACAGACACAGACAGCGGCGACAGTTGAGGCCTCGTAAAAGGCGTTGTGCAGGCGGGGCTGCAGCTGGCGCTGTGGTCGTACATGGGATATGAGACATCAGGCATCAAGGAAGTATGTGGCATGAGGCATGTGCCATGTGCCATGTGCCATGTGGCATGTGGCCATGGCGAGGGGTGATGAGCTTGAGGCGGAAGGAGGCTGGCGTTAATGTTGCCACCCGGCAGCGACTTGGCAGCTAATGAAGTGGCATTAGAGCGGCATTCACTGCTCGCTGCGACTTTGCAGCTTTGCGCAAATGAGCCGACAAATGGCCCGCAGCTCTTGACAGCAGCGCAACAGCAACTCTTTTTAGCCAGGCCCTTGCTGCCTCTTGGCTAACCGCACATGCGGTGCTCGACTCTGCTCTGCTCTGCTCTGCTCCGCTCGGCTCGGCATTGGCGGCCATAAAAAACTCGCACTGCATGTGCAGCAATACCTGTCCTTGCCGCAGGCGTTGCCCTGGCTTTAATCAAATCTTGTTACCCTCACTGATGCCAGTCTGTTCAACAAGCTAATGTCTCTGTCTGTGTGTGTGTGTGTGTGTGTGTGAGGTAGTTATGCAATTCTCTTAACTGAGCCGAGGCAAATTGCCGCTAGTTGTTGCGTAATGCAACTTGCAGAACTGCTGTTAATTTGCATAGCTCACACGCACAGACAGCCGTCAATCACACACACACACACACACACACACACGCAGCTAAGCACGCACGCATTGCAGCGCCCCCTTTTCTGCAGCATACTTTGCGGCGCACAATGTGTAAAGCGAAAAGAAGCAAACGAAGATGCGGCAGACGTAAATTAGATAATGAAGCTATGTATGTAAATGTATTCGAAAGCGAAAAGCGGCGTGAGCAGCTAGGTGAAAAGACCACGAAAATAAGAAGAGGAAGAAGAGCATATTGGCACAGTGGCAAAATACGTGAATGAAAAGAAGGCGGCAGCAAAGCTACAGATGATGAAATGTGGCAATAATATGAGATTGAGAATAATATAAGATTGCATGGAGCATAGTGAAGAGGAAGGCGATAGGAAAACGAAGAGTGAAGTAAAACGAGAAGTGAAAAGGCTGAAAGAAACACAAGAAGAGCACGAAAAGCCAAGGGAGCAGCAGAAAACGAGAAAAAAAGCTAAAAGCTGTAAGAGAGAAACAACGCAAGGCAGTCAGCAAAGGGCGAAAGAACAGTAAGAAGGAGAACGAAAAATCCAGGAACAATAAAAGCCAAGCGAAACACAGAAAAGATCAAGCAAGCTAGAAGCAAATTGACAGCGAAAGCGCGAAGCTTAGCCAGAAACAAAGGAAGAAGAAGAGAAAGAAGCATAGCGATAAGCAAAGCGAAGGGGCATACGAAAAGCCTAATAAGAAATGTAGAATTGTCCAATAGCAACTAAATGTGGAACGATAGTTATTTAAGAAATATCGATAGTCGTTGCTAGTGCAATGCGATGAATAGTCGATATGCTCAAGAGTAAAACTGCAAAGCAGAGAGAGAGAGAGAGAGACTAAGAAGTCTAATAAGAAATGTAGAGCCGTCCAATAGCAACTAAATGTGTAACGATAGTTTTTTAAGAATTATCGATAGTCGTTGCTAGTGCAATGCGATGAATGCTCGCTATGCCCAAGAGTAAATCTCCAAAGCAGAGAGAGAGAGACTGACAACGCTGTTTGTTTAAATTAAATAAAATTAGCATGAAAACTAAGTGAATGAAGGCAAGAGTGGAAATCCACAAAAGAGACAAAAAGGGAAAAGACAAAATGAATAACTAACTGAAAGCCATATCAATTTAATCAGATGTTTCTGTCTTCATCCATAATTGTTTTACATGCGAGTTTTATCTAGACTTTGTACAGCTCATTGTTTTTTATTGCTTAGCTCTAGTACTCGTAGGTTCCCTCTGCTTCTTCTTCTTCTTGTTTTGACTCTAACTCTTCTGCTAGCTCTAATTTGGGGCAGCTGTTCATATGCCTGGCCCCCTCCTGTCCCTTGTCGCAATGCTCAGCGAATACATTAAGCCTTCCACTCGCAGCAGCAGCCAACTACACTGGCCTACACGCACTGGGTCCACAAACTTGGCAGACTTTGACTTTAATTTGCTAAAAAGCCAATCTTCATTTGGCATTAAAAGCCAAGCCAAGGCGCTAACAGCATTTGACATGCCACGAAACGCACAAAAACGTGGCTATCTGTTTCTTGACTGAAATTTCTGACTCTCACACACTTAGTGCGTACGTGTGTGTGTATGTGTGTAATATTGTCATTGACAACAATTGTTGTAATGCTGTTATTGTTATTCGTGTTGCTGCTGCTGTTGTTGTTGTTGTCGCTATCAACGCCTCATTGTTGTTTTTTTTTCTGCTTTGTTTTGCGAATGGACGCGAATGTGGGCATCGTTTGTGGTCCACATAAATCAACCGCAATAAGCGGTATCAACAGCGTCGTATCATAGAATATTTATAAACTCTCCTGTTGTACATATAGAACAAGCCGTGGCGCTCACAGCGCAGAACAAAGCGTAGCCCGTTGGCACAGTTGGCTGGGGCAACGGCATGCGGCAAGGGGCGTGCGGCGTGGGGCGTGGGGCGTGGAGGCATGAGGCACGCGGCACGAGGCCGGAAACAGAAGCTGGACTGCTTAATGGCCGCTGGGTTGGCTTCATTGTGAATTGAAAGCATTTACAATTGTCTGTCAACTGTGCCCCAGTGGCGAAGCATTCCCAGCTCTGTCTCAGACTGATGCTCTCCCTCATCCCCTCTCTCGCTTGCACTATCTTTCTCTCTCTCTCTCTCTCTTTCACTTTTACCTTGTGTATAGGTCCTGTCGCAACAAGCAACATCTTTCGGTGTCGGAAATATTTCAGTAAATCGTAACTTCCTTATAGTGAAATTTCCGCTACCACTTAAAATAACAATTTCCGCTTCGGCAGTTTCAGTTACATTCACACAGTTGCAGCTAACGGTAAGAAGTGCTTCTAAGTTTGTAGTTGTAGCTGCAACATCGCAACAGTTGCACCTGGCAACGTACATCCTGCCTGAATACACCCGCTGCCTGCTCACGCTGAAAGGCAGCGAACGCCGATTGCACGCCTAATTTTATGTGAAGAGCTCCCGAGCATACCAAACCACGCACAGTGGGGCAAACTGCTACAGCTGTGTTGCCTGGTAAAACATAATTAAAATCTTAAAGTAGTCAAGTTGGTAATACAGATACCAAATTATCGATTGATAATGAAAATGAAGTCAAGTTAAGTGCAAATTTGAAGAACTCCAGGGCATGCCAAGCAACGCACAGTGGGGCAAACTACTCTAGTTGTGTTTCGAAAAGCAACCAAATTTTATAAATCTCTATTGCCAAATTAACTTGCATGGATGAGTGTTGATCGATAACTAATATGAAATATAGATAAATGTATGCAGAAACTTATTTTGATTTACCAAAGCATGCTATATTGGATTTGAGCAATTGGAAGAAGTCATTGTAGTTTCCATATAGTTTATATACATTTTTTAATCAGACTTGCGAATTGTGTTGATAAAGCTAGTAAGACCTGCACGTTGTCAAACATCTCATATATTAAATCTATAATATAATCATATAATATAATCAATAAGATAATCATAGTTTATTTGAATTGTTGTTTTCTTATCTCCCATATCATTTTGCACAAATATGGATTATTATCGATTTTTATGATATATTAAAATGGTTTCTAGAACATAGCACAAGGACATCTTATGTAAAGATCGCACTTAAGAAATGCTTTAAAATGTCTAATATCTCTACAATTCGAAGCACATCTTCAAATAAACTAGGGTATCTCAAAGTTCATATGCTATTAACGAAAATTGGAGAGTGCCTAGAGAAATATCGAAGTAAGAAAACGAATGTATGAAAATAAATGAATGTATGAAACAAATTTCTTCGCCGAAGCAAAAAGTATCTCTGACGGCACTTTAAAAATACGATAACCGATAAAGTTGATAGAAAAAAAGCTAAAGCCTGAGATTGGAGGGCCCAACGAAAAATCTGAACTCAGTCAGCTTTATGCCAATTACTTATTATAATTCGCGCTGATGGCCCAATGGCAATGTGTTGACTCTGCATCAGCATGCACTGTCGGCTCATTCATATGTGTGAGGGTTGTGTGTGTGTGTATGTGTGTGAGTGTGTGTACCCATAGGCTCAATTTTTACAGTTGATTTGACAGAAAGCGGCATTAGCTAAAGCGGCCCGCCCACCCAGGTGTGCCAGTCGAGTTGACTAAACAGTTGAATCGACTCGATGCGACGCCACTCCACTTCACTCGCTTCGCCTCGCCACGCCTCGACTCGACTCAAACTCCCAACGCCACTCAGCAAATCGAATTAACGTCACTTTTCAAATTTCACGCTGTTCTCATCGTGCACACCTCTGCTAAAAGAATTGCCATCCCAACTAACTCTCTAACCGCCAATCGACCAACCACTCGAACCTAGGCCCTGCTCTACGACCCATAATCAGCTCGCCCACTACTGGCACCGTCCCACCTATAGACATGTGTGCCTGTCTCTCTCTCTCTCTCGCGCGCTCTCTCGCTCTCTGTCTGCCTCTTTCTGTCGATGCTAGCTCATTGAGGTGTAAACGTCGCCCCCTTCCATCAAGTTCACAACGAAAATCGCATCAAAAACCGAATATGAAAAAAAAGATGTGATCAAATACCTGACGAACTTCTAATGCCCTAACGAAAGTATATAACAAGCTCAATAATAATAATAATAATATGAAAAATAATAATAATTATTATTATAACAAAAAATAATAATAATAATAATAATAATAGTAATAAAAAAAATTTTTAAAAATTAAAAAATAAATCAAATAAAATCATGTCATTGATTATAAAAAAAAAAAAATTAAAACAAAATTTGTAATTTAAATTAAAAACTTTATATGAATAACAATTTGATTTTTAATAGAATCATATGTCATAAGCTAGAAAAAATTAATGATCTGTGAAATACAGTATACAAAAATAGAATATATAAAATATATTACATATACAAAAAAAAAAAAAAAAAAAAAAAAAAAATCACGATATTATTTATTAAATTTTAAACATCTGAAAAAATCTATTATATTTGAAATATAAAAAAGTTACTATATAAGATAATTTATATAGAAATGTGTTGTTAAGTGATTTTAAAACGCCTATAAAGACAAAAGGGTTTTAACTTTTTATGAAACAATTTTTTTATCATTTACATATAAAATATGAATAAAAAATTTTTAATAAACCAAAAAATTGATGACAAATTCAGATTGAAATTGATTTCCTATTTTTTGTGACCAATTTCAATATTTATTAATATCAATTTATCAATATCGAATAACTCAAATGTGTTTCTTAGAGATTTCAGTTTCAGTTTTTTATATGATATATTTGGGAGAGCTTAAATTACTGGTGTAATTAATACGACTGCGAATAGAATATGCTAAATATGCAAAAAAAAAAAAAAAAAAAAATTAAAAAAATAAATAAATAAATAAATATTGCTAAGATATTGGACTAAATAGAAGAACAACAAACAGATGGAATGTTCTATGTTACAGTTGATGGTTCATACAATATTTTAATTCCTCATTTATATATGTATTGCTCTTTCAGTTGTAATTATATATTTATGTAATCTGATGGTTGGCATTGAGCAAAGTGGAGAGTGCGAATCTGATGTCTTAGCTGCAATCGCCTCGGTTCGGGGGCGTAGAGCATTTAGGAGATACACGAAACAGCTGGCTTCAGGCTTCAGGCATCAGGCATCAGCCTGTGCCAGTTGTGTGGCTGGCATGCCAATTGCAACGATGTCCTGAGCTGTCCTGTTCTGTCCCGTTCCGTTCCGTCCTCTCCTGTCCTATCCTGTCCTGTCCTGTCCTGTCCTGTCCTGTCCCTTCCTGTTCACATCCTGCACTTGTTCTATACTCGTGTCCATTCTCTGTCAGCTGCAGTCGTGCCGAACTAAGCAAAACTGAAACAGAAATTGAAGTGCAAACTTGTCTGGCTTAGCTTCGGCTTTGTACACTCCAAATTCTCTCAGCTGCTGCTGCGGCTGCTTATGGCTGACGACTATTTGAATACTCTGACTTTCAATGTACATTAATGTGGAATGCAGCACTCGCTCTGAATGCCACGCTCTGCAGGGTATGTCAGGTGCGGTGCTGGCCGGGCCGAATGCGCACTCCATTTCTGTGTTTTACCATTTTGGCAAGTCGGACATGCTATCTGCTGATCCAGCTTCGCATAGCAGCTCAATTATGTGCGCTGTCAACGTGTGTAACCCTGTAATTGTCTAATCACTCTCGCTCTAGGTACATCTCTCTCTCCCTCTTTTTCTCTCTCTTACTCTATGCTACAGTTATACTAACTCTTTCTAATTCTCTCTCTCTCTCTCTGTTTTTATATATGCCAGGTGGATCTGCGTCACATCGATGAACTGAACGGCACCAATGTGGTTGAAGTGGGCGTGGATCTGTCTGAGTTCTACACGTCCGTTGAATGGGATATACTTGAAGTTCCTGCAGTGCGGTAAGTTTTCAAATACAACAACAACAACAACAACAACAACAAATCTACAAACAGCAACAAAAACAGCCTTGGCAGCTGCTTTGGCCAACTTTTGGCCGCTGTCACAAAACACAAACACAAATCTTACGAATGTCAGAGCATTTTGCACAGGTCAAGGATGCTAACAACAACAACAACAATAGCAACAACAACAGCTACATAGAATTTGCAACGACGACAAGTTGCTGATGATGAGCCCGAGAGCTGCTCGCAGTGGGCGTTCTCATGGGCGTGGTCGACAGTTTACCGCCAATATTTACACTTGTACATGAGGCGTCTGTTTCTCTTTTTTTTGGGCGGGGAGGCGAGCTCTGAGTCCCCATCCCCCCGTCAAACTCCACAAATCACAAGTCTCTGTGAGTCGGCGAAAAGTTTTTAAATTAAAAAACTTTGGCGCCGGCTGCCAAAGGAACAGCTTCTGGACAGTGAGTGTATGTATGTGTGTGTGTGTGTGTGTGTGTGTGTGTGTGTGTGTCGCACTTGTAAACAATATATAGAGATGCCTGCTTAATTGCCACGCCCACAATTCCAGTACCTGCCCAGGCAGTGCATGAGCCAACACGCTTGTGTGCACACATCAGCATTTGCTGTTGCTGCTTCTTTGCCGGATGAGAGGAGCGGGAGCTGAAGCTGGAGCTCCAACTCGACCTGGAGCTGTAGCTGTAGCTGGGCCCTAATGTGCTTAGCCCCATATACAGAAGGCAACAATTTCAAAGTGTTTTCGCACATTTTGTTGCGCGGCGCAAAGTGCACAAGAAGTTGCCTCTGAGAACATTGGCAAATTAAAAGCCTAAGCACACACACGTATACACACTCACCCACACATACTTACACCTACACACTCATACACTCAGGCCATGCCTCTCGAGTGTGTGTAAATTCTGCTACTCATTTCAAAAGCTAATCAAAGAATCAATTCATGCAGAAGCCATAGCAAATGATTTGTAAGTCTTGCTAAAACAGGGAAGAGGTCCCTAGTGAGGACTGTTCGACTAGCAAATACCCTGAACACTGCTAATAGTTGGATGGTATACCAATCATTCTGAACATACATACATAAGCAAGCGCGCGCTCTGCTAACTGCGCAGTTGACTGCGCTTGAGCTGAAATTTGGGATATATTATGAGAACTTATTTGCTGTCTTGTCTTCTTGTATATATAGATCCTATATTGTAATTATTCACTACGTGGTAAAAACATGCAAGTATGTGTGTTTGTCTCAGCACAAGTCTCTGGTCTAAATTTGGGCGTCGGCAGTGTGGTATGAAATATCTATAAACTAAAGAAACTTTGTATTCATTACATGCATCCGAACAGTCAGTCTGAAATCACTATCTCAACATTCCAAAAATTACTCTTAAAAAACCAAAGAAAATTATCGAGTATTGTCGATAACAAAAAAATGAGATGAGTTAACGAAAAAATATAAAGAACTCATACTACATATGATCTTCATGAGTATACATGTAAAATTGCAAGACTCTAGCTTGTGTAGCTTACGAGATCTCTGCGTTCAATCAGACTGACGAACGGGTGGACTTGGCTAGATGAACTAAATGCGTCATGCTGATCATAGGTATATCTGTTTCATGATCTGTACCACGCCTCCTACTGCATGTTACATACTATATAATACAGTAGAGTCCTGATAATTCGAAATGGCAAGGATATGGGCTTTTTTTTTTTCTTTTTTTTATTTACTCAGAAATTCAAATTGTCGAGAATTTTTGAGAACGAATTTCTCTAAAGGGGATAGAATTTTTTTCGATATATCGCGATTTTCGATTTGGCTGGGTACGAATTATTATCGAGATTCGACTGTATATGTGCACATAGTATGATAAAATGACAAATTATTATCAATCAGTCAATCATGGATTTTTTATGTTTTTCCTATTGTTCAACCACAATATAAGGCAAGAGTCCATTCAATCAGTCAATCCATCTGCGATTGCCCCCATTGCTCCCCTGTAGCCCACACACTATAAAATATTTACAACACATATTTATATGTCTTTAATACTGCATTTATATGAATATATATTATGAATCGGTCAATCAGTCAATTCAACAATCTAAGGCTTTTCTCATAGTTCAATTCATCCCATGCTCTTGCTATCAATCAGTCAATCGCTCATTCATTCAGACATTCCCTGTTTTTGTTTTCCCCATAATTCCACTTTAAGAGATATCAAAGCAGACTTGAATATTTCGTTTACAGCAGCTTTAAATGAAATCGGATACTCAATCAATCAGTCAGTCAGATGCACTTGCCATTGTTCTATTATGCCCTACGCTGTGCTGCTGACGGCTTAAAGCAAAGTTTGAATGCCAATCAATCGGCCAATCGGGCACTTTGATTGAATCCCAATATTTGCGAAAAATTTCTGTGTATTTAATTTAATTTAAAGAAGACCCAATCAATTATGAACTATTGTCATAAATTGTGCAAGGCCAAATACATCTATTCCCCATCCCCCCTCCCCTTTTCACTATCGCATGCAGCTATTGTAATGGCTGCAGTTTACGGATTAGCCGCTTGGCCGCACTGAGCTGGACGAGCTGGCAGCGAGGATTTCACCGGCGCGACAAAGTCCAGCGATAACGGTATTAAGCTCGATGTGTTTGGTTATAGCCAACAACAACAACAACAACAGCAATAACAACAACAACGAAATGCAATAATTTTGATTACATTCGCATTTCGCGTTCGCAATATTGTTGCTACCTTATCCAGTTAAACGCCCTTGATTTAGTCCCCTTTTAGCGCAAGCTTTTATTTTTTTTTACTTTCATTTTTATTTATTTATTTTATTTTATTTTTTTTATTTATTTATTTATTTTTTTTTGGGAGAGAGTTGCCTCAACTTTCGAGCCCCCGGGCAAGTGAAAAGCAACTGAAATGAAATTTAAGAGCGAAAAACAAAAGTTTTTATTTTGCTCGAAATGTTCATAAAAAATGGGCAAGTGCTCAAGATGTCAATGAGCGTGCGTGCATGACTAACAGATACCCTATAACAACTTGAAGCACTTGAGAATTGAAAGATTGTTGAGCTTAATTTAAGTAGTATGAATCTTAAGAAAGACTGAAGAGAGAGAGAGAGAGAGAGAGACCGAGAGAGAATTGAAAGTTTCTTAACAAATTTTAAGGCAATAGAAATTAAATTTTAGTAAATTCATATAAAATGTGTTTATAAAAAATTTGATAAACATATATAAATTTTAATACGAGTATATGCCTGAAAATTGTATATACTGTATGTATGTATTGTATATGTATACAGCTCTTGTCATACAAATAGTATCGCTACTGAGCACTGTCCACATCTAAATTAGATAAAGAATCTCAGATTTTCATATTTTCATATTTTTCTTCTAAAAATTGAGTTAATAACAAAAGTTTTCTTTTCAACATTTAGTGCATCTATTTGTATGACCACAGCTGTGAAAATATGTATTCATATCTTTCCTTATATATTCCCTTTAATTTTCGATAACTTTAGCTTTGCTTCGTAGGATGTTCAGATTCACTAAAGATTTCTTTATTGTGTTTACAGGGTATATGAGCTCGGTTACAACATGTGAAATGAACTGAGCACACGCATTGTTTTCTGGCATTGTTGTTGTTGTTGTTTGTTGCTGTTTTTTCTTGTTGTTGTTGTTGTTGTTATCAACGTTGTCGTTGGCACGCGCGCCAGCCACAAACATGTCGCGACGCACAGCGCCGTTATGGGTGTCCGTGAAAGTGTTGTTTATGCCCCTAGCAGCGAGAGGAGCGAGAGCAGCAGCAGCAGCAGCAGCAGCATAAAGGCCACACACACACACATGCACACTTACACACACTCACAACAAATAGAGTGTAGCAGAAAGAAGCGAACGCTCACCTGCTGCATGGCGTGTGCGAAATGCACTCGCTGTGGCACATTATGTGTGCTTGTGGCAAGCAGCCATGTGTGTGTGTGTGTGAGTGTGTGTGTGGCGCACACTTGCCACCAACTATTTTCAAGTTGCGTGCAAATCTTTTGTGATTAATAAATCGCCTTGACCTCAGCTGCAATCCACATGAGCAGCGCCTTAAGCCAAGCGCAAGAGCACCTCAGCTCTCTGTCTATGTCTCTCTCTCTCTCTCTCTCTCTCTCTCTCTCTCTCTCTCTCTCTCTCTCTCTCTCTCTCTCTCTCTCTCTCTCTCTCTCTCTCTCTCTCTCTCTCTCTCCTAACAGGTTTTACCCTCCTGTCCACCTCTCCCTCACTGAGTACATCTTTGTATCTCTCTCTCTCTGTCTATATCTCTCTCTATAAATATGTCCACTCTCCACCTCTCTCCACCTCTTTCTCTCTCTCTCTTTCTCTCTCTCCTGCTCTTGAACGCTTTCTACACCTCTATCCACCTCTCTCTCACTGTCAACATCATTTTATCTCTCTCTCTCTGAAAATATATCTCTCTCTATTTACCTTTATCTTCTTCTTTGCCCATCTCGCTCTCCCTCTCTTTATGTTCGACTTTCTACCTTACAGACAATCCCCTCTTATCTATCTGTCCAGCACTTTCTACATCTTTCTAACTCTCTCTCTCTCTCTCTCTCTCTCTCTCACACTCTCTCTGTCTACCCCTTTCAACCTATCCTTCTCTCACTCTCTAACCTCTTTCCATATGTCTTCCTCTTTCTTTCTGTCTGATTATCTCCCTCTTGCTCTATCATTAACATCTTTCCCTCTCGCTATCGTTCTCTCTCTCTATCTCTCCCTCGCACACAACCTAATTTCAGACCGCTTTTGACAGCAGGTAACAGCGTGTGTCAATTGAAAGCTTTGTGTTTTCAGTTTATCTATTGTTGTCTGTACAGGTGTCTGCATTCCCTCTCTCTCTCTCTCTCTCTCTCTCTCTCTCTCTCTCTCTCTCTCTCTCTCTCTCTCTCTCTCTCTCTTCCTTGCCCTAGGCCTTTCTCTCTCTCTCTCTCTCT